CCCCAAAACCCCAAAACCCCAAAACCCCAAAACCCCGAAATTTTTTAGAATAATTGAAAGGGAAATTTAGGCAAGCGAGTTTTTGTTCTTCTGTAATATTTGGGAGATTTTGGAGATTTGAAGGATTTTGACTGGGTTTTGGTCGAAAGAGTCGGGGATTTAGGAGGTCTAGGGGATTTTGGAGATTTCGGGGATTTTGGAGAAAGTGTGTGCAGGGGAGAAAGAGGGTTGGGGGTGTGATAGCGGTTGTTTTTGGAGGGTTTAGAGGTGGGAATTGACCCTTTTTGGGCGTTAAATGGGGTTTTAGAGGTCTTAGGACGGGGAATTGAGATGGAAGTTTTGGGGTGGGATTTTGACATTTTTTGAGTGTCGAGGAGGTCGAATGATGATGTGCTATTTTAATGGTAATCGAAAATTTAAATTACCTATTCAAGAAAGTCATGTTGCTGAATGTTTGGTTTTTGTAGGGAGATGAATCCCATCTCTTTTTCACATAACTTTTGGTCTATGAGTCATTTTTCGTAACCAACCCTTGATTTATTCCTTCTTCTTTTATTTGTTTTCTTATCTTTCTCTTCATCAAAACTATTTATAAAATTCTGGAATCCATCACTTAAGACCAGCTATCAGTTAAAACATCATGAATTGCTTACTGAGAGCATCTATATTTCAATATTGAGATAGCTTACTTGAGATTTGAGTAGATATCAAAGAATCAACAAAGCTTGCATTTTTATTATTTCTTTGAACTAAAGTCTTATAAAATAATCACTATTCTTGATCAAATCCCTCGTATCATTTTGAAAATCCTGTCCTGTTCGGGAGAATCTAAAGACACCCCTTTTGTTTACTTGGTTCATGCGATTATAGAATCGTTTCCCAGGATGCGTGTTACCTTTTAGCTTTTTAAAATCTCAAATATCGCTATTTGCTGTATTCCAGCTTGATTTCATTTTCTTTTAAAAATAATTAATTCTTAAATTTATTCCAGGGATCGGCTTCCTAAAGGGGTTTTGGGGTTTTGGGGTTTTGGGG